CACTGATCTGAACAGAAACATGAAATGTTCTTATAGATATAAGAAATGAATTGAAAGTGAAAGTAAAAATGAAATTGTATTGGCTGGAAATATTTTCTTGGCTGTTGAATGAATGGGAAAAATATTTCCAGAGCTAAAAAAAAAAAAAAAAAAAAAAAAAAAAAAACCTCTTCCTTTTTTTTTATTAATTTGATGTCTTCACTTTGTTACTTTGGAATGGAGAAACCAAAGACCATGACTCATCCTTTCTTAAACATATAATTCCTAGAATGAGTCATGGTCTATTTTTAGAAACAGTGAGACAACATTCCCACACAAAAGGGGGGTAGGGTTAATTTTTATCATGTCTAGAAGACATGATAAAAATTAACAAAAAGGTTTTTTTTTTTTTTTTTTTTTTACATCTCAGAATTTTTTTTTCTGAGCTCTGAAAATTTTTTCCCAGTCGGCAACCAATTGAAAAATTTCCAATCGGCTTTTACTTTCACTTTCAACTCTTTTCTATAAAAGCATTCCACGTTTTCTGTTCAGAACCGTGCGGGCTCTCCATGGTGCAACATGCTTTTTCTCTCTCTCTACCTCATCTGCAGCTAGGATTTTTTCCTTCTTCAAGAAGTGGAATTTTTTGGGAATACCTTACAATTTCACGAGCTAGCTGTTTCTTTATATTTCGAGGAGATTTCAATGAAATTGTTTATAGATGTCACCTATTGCAGATGGGGAAAAAGTCCATACTGGATCCCTGGAGACATCTCATCCAGATAGGTCACGTTATATTTTTCCCACACCTAAATAAATTGGACATGAGCCATCCTTTTGTTTTCTCATCCAACAAAGATAGACACTAGAGACGCTTTTGGGTTTTCCCTCTTCGCAAACGGAGACGGGCCATAGCGATCCTTTGCGTTTTCTCTGAGCGCAAACCTGGATCGCGTGAGTAGCCATTTTGTTTCCCATCTCACCCAGATAGGTCATGTTGTATTTTTTTCATACACCTAGCCAAATTTGAACATGAGCCATCCTTTTGTTTTTTTCCATCGAAAGAAGATGGACTCTGGAAACCCTTTTGTTTCTCAAAGGAAAAGTGTCATGTTGTATTTTTTTCCCTTACACCTAGCCAAATTTGACATCAGCCATTCTTTTGTTTTTTCCATCGAACCAAGATGGATTCTGGAAACCCTTTTGTTGCTCAACGGAAAAGTAAATTTTCTGAATGGGTGCCGGTGTTCGAATACTTTTGGGTAATGGTATATTATAACATGTATAGTTTCATAGTATATAAACTCATAACTTTGATTATGCAGTATGCTTTGTATATTATTTCTGAAAGCATGTATATTTCAATCAAGATTGTTGAGTAAACTTTCTTGCTTTATGCTATCTCTGAAAGCATGTATATTTCAGTCAAGATTGTTGAGTAAATTGTGCTTATTTTATGCTTTTTTCTTTTTTACATTAGAGAAAATTCCACACCTTTATCACGAGGAAATCTGCAATGGCATTTAGGAATGACAAGTTTGTATCTATTACATAAAATCTAATGTTTTCTGGATTCTTCTTTTCCTTTTTCCTCCCAACAGAAAAACTTTAATGGTATAAATCAGCGGTTTTCAACCTTTTGACTGTAGTGTACCATCTAAGCAAAAACTGAAAAACATTAATACTACCACTAATTTTACAATGATTATTTTCAATTCCTCAATAGAAATATAAAAAAAATATATATATATATATATATATTGCCATTTGCACACTCTTTGTATTAAATATGTACACATAAAAAACTATTAGATTAAAAACTGATGATTACTTAATTCAAAATTAAATTTAATTAAATTAATTATTCACTTGATTATCAAAATTTCAGTTATAATACTTTAATATTTAATTTCTTTATGTCTGCTCTTATTTCATTTAATGGTAAATTAGGATCCACTTTTTATTTTGGTGAGTATTTATATTTCAAATTTAACATGGAAAAATCATTTTTCACACAAACAGGTTGTGCAAAAAGACAATACAAATTTGATAGCTTTATTTGAAATGCCTTTAAATTCTTTTTTTTCGGTTCAGCCAAAAGTTAACAAGTGTGTCATTCAAATTTTCGATCAAAGGAAATTTCTATTAACTATTCTTTTCTTTATGAGATTTTTGAATTTAATAGTTAAAAATACTTTGTTTCTTTGCGTACCACCGGCTGAGAACCGCTGGTATAAATTAATTATAACAGATGTAAATTAATATTTCTCATACAAAAGAGTTATTTCAATTCTTTATTGCGAACATTATATACAGAGTATGTCTTTTATTAACAACAAGATTTTAAGAATTTAAAGTAATAATCATTAAATCCTCTTGATTTATAAACAGTCTTAAAAATTATAAAGGGAAAAAAATTGAAAGTTAAAGAAATCAATATTATGAATTGTTCCTTTTTAGAGAAGTTTCATTGTTTAATTAATTATAAAAAGTGTTTTACATTATGAAATATAAAAATTAAGAATATTTGAATTTGAATGAATATTTTAAAATTTTCCCTCAGATAGAAGCTCAACTATTCGAAGCAGGAGACCGAAGAGAAAAAAGGAAGAGAGATGATATTACAGCTGCAGAAAAGGAAATAATTGAAACGCAGAAGAATATATTAATGTACTGTGTGAAATATGTGACTTGTATAAGCAATCAGTTGCAAATCAGTCTGCTGTCATAGAAAATCAAAATATAATTATTAATTTATTAAAAAATAAATCATGCATTTCAAATATTACAGTGTTTTCATTCTTGTATGTATTTCTGCAGTGTGGGATTCATATTTTAATTGTAAAATTTACTACTTTCTTAATTTTATAAAATTTTGTGATTATAAAAATTATTTAAAAGAAATTCACAGATCCATTATATGACATAAACATTATAATAATTCTAATACCACTATTATAAGTCTCGTGAAAATATTTATGCATTTTACACAGCAATTATCTTTTTCCTGGAGGAAAATGGGAATAAGACCTGTAAGAATCTTTAGTCAATGTATTACAAATTTTAATTTTCAGATATAACACGAAATGAATTAAATTGTTTTTCAATTATGTTAATAAGTTATATGAATGAGATGTGGTATTAAAAATTTCATTTCTTTTTATCATTGAAGAAATAACATTCGATATCCTACAGCTCCATAACAATGGCAGATAAAATTGACATTCTAATTTCGAAGTTCTAAAAAATACAGAGATGACAACTATTAAAGTATGGCTAATGTCTAGTTTACAATAACAATGTTGAGTCGCCTACTAAAAATTAAGTGAATCAAACTGTATTTATTTTCCCCCTTCTCTTTTTTTGGCTGAAAAAACAATTTATTATACACTCATGATTTTACTTAAATGTATTTCTTTTAATGGCAAACCCACTGAGGTAAGTATGCAGTAAGTTATTATAGTGAATGCGTAATGATGATATAAATCTAAATTCAGCAAAACAATCTTTCCCTTACTTTAATGTTTTAAAATCTAGAATTAAAAGAAAAATGTATGTTCTTTAAATAATACAAGAGGATATGGAGGCATAAATCATAGGCTGTTTATTCTTTTACATATTATGCTAATCAGGAATTGGAGCAAAACCCTGCTTAATCGAAGAATACGCTCACAGGAATGGTGGAGGAAAATTGAACTGTCCAATATTTGTTTTGCCCACCCCCAAGAAGACAATAAACAGTATAGAGTAAACAAAATACATAAACAGTTAATAGAGTGAAATAATGTTCAGTTTTAATTTATACTATAATAAATAAGCATGAAGTTCTTATGCTATTAAATGTGTATTGTCACATGGAAATTTTTCTATCTTGTCCCACGGAAGGGACGACGAAAGGGAAACATTTGACTTTTTGGGAAGAAACTGAATTTCGGTGCAGTAAATCTTATTGCTAAGTTTAAGATAAATTAAGTGCAATGCTAATTTATAGTGACTTACTATTGTAAATCATGACTGGCATACCAACACTAAAATATATATATATCGAGCCTATTAAGTTATTTCTGGTAGTCAAGAGTTTTTTTTAAACATAAATGATGGAAACAAGAAATTCAGAGGGAAGAACAATAATGATAAAGTTGTCAGTATGCATTTGAAACCAGGACTAATAAAATTATTTAGGATTATTATTATCAATTAAAATCATTTAGGGTTGTGCATTTAGTTACAGGTTTAAATATAAACCATGGCTTGTGGGTCCCCAAGAATATATTATGAAAGTAATTTTTTCATAATATATTCTTTATTATCCATGAAGGGGGTTTCACCTTTGCCAGAGGTTCATTGTTGCCCACTTTGGGTTTTTATTATCGAGTTTCAAAATTTAAAGATAATTCATTGTGCAATGCACTGACTGAAAACTTTCTGAAGGTACCAACTCATCATCTTCAAACACATCGATCTCAGGATTTTCAACACAATACCTTAAGCATATATTATGTAAAATGGCCACCAGATATGACCATTTTACATATTTTGCTTTGTGAATACAATAGTGTTCCACCAGTATCGTGCAGTACCCTAAATCTTGATTTGATCTCTATAGCTGCACGAACTTTTCTGTGCTTCTCATTATAGAGATATTCCCGTGATAAAATGGGAATATAATCCACTATCTCCCAAAGATATGCACGATGCGACAAAATACTATCTAGATTTTGTTTCAGTCCACTCCATATAAATGCATCATGAGTATTGCCTGGCCATTGTCCTATAGCATAGAGAACCCTCAGACCAGCATTCCATACCTAGAAAAACATAAATCCTAAGTCAAAAGAAAGTTTCATCTGAAATTTTAATACACAGATTTTTAACATTAAATATAGTTGATATATTAATAAATCAGTCTTTTTAAGGAGTTTACTTTCCATTTTTAACAAAAATATGTCACTGTTTTTTCATTATTAAAAAATATGCAATAAAACGTTAAAAAACACACACAACAAACACAAAAAAAAAAAAAAAAAACATTACAGCTACCCTTTTTTTCATTAAATGTAGTAATTATAGTAAATAGGTGATTCTAAAGTTTATTTAATATTTTGTATTATTTAATATCTATACTTCACTATAATTATAGTATATAGATAGCTTTTTGTTATTATTATTTGAATAATAATAAAACATTCTTGCAGTAATTTGAAATGACTATAATATTATACTTATTATCATATATTTCTTACCTTTTCACCATTAATGGAAAATTTATTTTTCCGGTTAATGAAGACAAAACAAAAATTAATATCACCACACTCGCAACATCTGCGGTTTCATTTGTATGTAACCCAAAATAATTCTTGGTAAGCTAGGTAGAATCACATTTGTGATTGCACTCCAGTTCTTTTACAGCTGGTCGAAAGAATTAACATCTACTGTATGTGGAAATAGCGAACAAAACAGTAAGAAATTGGAACAATTACCTGTGGACAACTTGTATTCATAGCATTCTAAAATGAGCTTTTGGTAAAATTTGACCGCAAATAAAACAGTAGTAATGAACGAATGTTTTTTCACGAAGTGGGTCCAATACTTTCACAGCAGGGTTATTTCATGTATTCTGCAGAGAGACTGATGTATGGTTTGTTGTAACTGCTGTATACAAATGTCTGGCTCAGAATTCCACAGCAGTAATTAGGCACAACTTTCATGGTTGATGGTATAATATGGAGGTACCAAAAATTAGTATTATCACAGTAACTGCAAGATGGCTTATATTTCTAAAACTCAGTTAACACATTTCATGCAGAAAGAAAATATTATCCAGTTTCATACTTAAATCAAGGTCACTGAAATGTGGGTAAAAGCAATCTGCTTAAGAAAACAGATGCCTCTGTAGAGGACTTTCTATGGAAAACTGGCTTTCATTCCCATTATACATGGGCAAAACCAATGTCATGTAATATAATAATCTATTAGTACAGTAAATACATTTAATTTCTTTGTATTTATTTATGTCATGCTGCTTTTCGTGTAATTTAGTATGATAACCTTATAAGTTTATTTAATTCTGATCATGGTCTACGGAAGTAAGGTAAGTCACCTGTTATCGAGAATATCAAGTTATTAATATTTATGTGAAAGTCTGCAATAACTTTTCATATCATAAGAGATTTACGAATGTGTATATAACTTACATGTGTAGTTATTATGCAAGATCTATAGAGAAAGTATCCAAAATTACCATGACATTAATCACACTGTACGAACAGGCAAGACATTATACATTAGGAGAAAATTAACTAATATTTTGGGGGATGAAATACTATTTTACACATGGGAACTGTTTAAAACAGCTGAGAAAAATTCATGCTTTTTCCCCCTACAGTTACAGAATATATATATATTGTTTCATAAGAATAAAAAGTAAAGTTAAATTTAAATAATTCTCATGCCATTGCTGCAAAGAATGAAATTTGAATTTAACAAATATTCTCTTCATATAAAGTTAATTTAAATTATGAAATTTTAATTGCATACATATCAAAGATTAATTATTGCTGCAAACTAATTTACTATATCACTGAAATTCTGAGAGCATATGTAAATTAAATGCACGTATCTAAAACCATGAAAAAATATATAATATTCCAAAAAACTAATCCCAATATATATATATATATATCTCAAAGACAGGCATATGCATAATTTCTGTTAGAAAAACAATTTCTCCGAGATTACGTTTTAGAGTAATTAAAAAATAAATTAATGGTGATATTATTACTGCATTCCAAAATTCGCAGTAATTAACGATTTCGATCATTACTACGAAAAAAAAACGGGATGAAAAAGAAAGAATCCTGATACAATAACATTAAAAATTTGTGTGTTTACGTATAAAAATATATAATATTCTCAAATAGGTCATTTAAGCATAGTCTTTGATTCGGAAACATTTCCAGAAGTATTTCAGTTTTCATAATCTAAAGTAAAAACAAACCTGCATTTGCAGAGAATATCCATTGGCAGTTGCCTTGCCTTCAGAAAAGGTTTCAATTCATTGAAGCAAACCGATTTAATCTGAATCAACTGATGAATTCACGCTCCAGACATTTCAAAAGCATTACGACTGTCTCTTAAATGCCAAGGAATTCGATCAGCATTTCTCCGATTTCTTAAACGTCTGAGCAAAATCACTTCAGCCATCTTGTTTACAGTCACTGTTAAGAGTTTGCGGCAGGTCAGGAGTAGCCGCAAAATTCCTCTGTGGTAGTGACGTATTTTCAGTAGGCGTGTCCGAAAAGCGTTGCACTTGAATTCGGTTTTGCATTGCAAGTGCGATTACCATGACAAGCGTTGCACTTGAATTCGCCCCTAACTGGGAAAATTAACAGCCACTGCATTGTGCCGGCGGCCGCTCAACTAAACTCCAAATTTGATTTCTGTCGTTTACAAGAAAAAACCGCGACCGTTACAGTTTCTTGCATATCTGCGCCATTTTCTATTGTAGTTTGTGCAGCGTGGAAAGGTAAACATTTGTATTTAATCTTTGCGATAAATTGAAATGTTTTTCATATTTTTACTTTTTAATTATCATGTAAGTGTATACTCATGGATGTATTAATTATTAGTTCTTTAAATTCTTAATTTAGTAGTTTGAAACTTTTGATAGCAGGACCAAGGACAAGAACGATGTCCCGGTATCGCAATTCTGGCCCTTTGGATTGTAAAGTATATGTTGGTGAACTTGGAAATAGTGGAACTCGACATGAATTAGAAGATGCCTTTAGTTATTATGGTCCTTTAAGAAATGTATGGGTAGCTAGAAACCCACCTGGTTTTGCATTTGTTGAATTTGAAGACTCAAGAGATGCTAGAGACGCAGTGAGAGCTTTAGATGGAAAGTAAGTATTGGTGTGAGTTTTTGTTTCGAGAATTCGTATATGTGTCATGTTGTGACTAGTTTTCGTGTTGTGTTAGAAATTTATATAGAATTTTGACGAATTTCGTTGATAATTGATTGGTAATTATTTACTTTAAGCGGTATTCTATTAAGTTTAATCATTTGGTTTTATTGCCAATTTTATATATAAGCAACATGTTTTTCCCAGAACAGACCCTGCTTCTTGAAAATTTCAAATTTTTTATGATTAAATAATGCATTTATGTAATGTTTACTTTGTTATATCCTTCAACCCTCTCCTTTTTTTCACCTTACATGGAAAATTATTGTTCTGATAGTATTAAATAGAAAATGTTCAAACTTTGATAAATTTTTGCTCTGGCTATTGTTTTATAGAACAAACTTTGAGTTTCTGTTAACAAAAAAAAAGTTCCATTTGCTTTAGCTTTGTGTTAAATGCATTGCAGATGTTTTGACTTGATGACTTAGTTATTTTCCTATGCTTTTGCAGCTCTAGAATGCTTCATCTAAAAGTTCAAAAGGATGCATAATGATTAGAGTAAAATACTATCTGTCATCAGAATGAATAGTTTGGACCAATGCATAGGAAGTGTTTAGATAGCACCAGATACTGTACTACAGTTATTTTTAAGCAAATCAATATATATATATATATATATATATATGTGTGTGTGTGTATAAGATTGAAGTAAACAAGATGATAAGTAATAAATTTCTTAATACTTGCACTAAAGCTCCAGTCATGTAATAAGTGGAGAATGTGATGAATCGCCCACTGCTTTGCATATTTTTCAAAATTGCTAATTATTGTGTCATCTCCTGGAATTGCAATCCCTCTAGAAAATACTGCTCAAGGCGTGACATTACAATGCTGAAGGGGTTGAGTAGACTTTAAGGTACCCCTTGTATTATGGCGAAGATGTTCTTTGATTTATCGCCAAGTTGTTTCATTTATGGTAGCCTGAGTACTTTAATGTTATGGAAACCCTATTGTGATGTAATCGGGTGTATAATTCTAAGAAATTTTGAATCATGGGATGATTTGTAAGCGTTTTTCCGGTGTGTGTTGGTTTCTTTAGATAGAAGAATGGCCGAATGTAGTAAGATTAATTTGAAGTTTGTGTGCGATTTGGAGCAAAAGGGAAAATAATATTGCTTTAATTGACTGGTATGTAAATGAATGTTTACTTAGTAGCCATTATAAGTGTCATGTATGTAGGAAGGATATGTGTCTAGTCGAACGTAAGAACTGTTTAGATGGGTTAGTAGGGAGAAGGTTCAGATGGTCACTATGTGAAGCGTTCGATCAGAAAGAGCACCTGGTTTTAAAGAAGTCATTTCAGTATGATTCATATTTAGATTTTTAAATGGCTCTGGGTGTACGAAGCGAACTTGAAAATTATGGTAAGTGAATATTTGCTTTTGGAAAATTATGAATTATGAAGTTCACCACAAAAGAAAGACAAGCCCACAAACATCAGAAAATAAAAAAAAAAGCAGCAGAAATTAGATAATTTTTTTTTAAAGAATTAATTCAGGTAATTTAAAATATTTACGTAAAATGTAGTAGTTTATATGTTTAAAAATTTATGGTTATTAATTTTGCAAAAAAAGTAATTCTTCTCGAAACTCCAAAATGTCGGTAGTAAGTCCGTAAAAGTTTCAGGGGATTTTTGGGGGTCCCACAAACACCCCTGCATATGTCAGACTGGGATTTACCTATAAATGCCGAAGTCCTTCGTCTGGAAGACAAAGGCCCAACAGTCAGAAATGATTTTCGTGCCAGGCAATACCCATTCAACTAATTACATCGAGCAGGCAGCCACTTGTTCGATTCAGAACCATTCTTAAAAAACGTGTGTGTATCTCTTTCACTTCCTCAAAACACCCATCTTCTTTTTATGGTCCTGCTCTTCCATACTTTCATCAACCTTAACAATCTTTCCCACTTCTCCAATCTTGCAACTATCTGTCACCTCAACATAATACATATTTCCCTACAAATTTTGACTACTGTGTGATTAGAAACATTCAGGTCTTGAATTGCATGTTTCTGACAGCCAAATCACTTTTGCATCACTAACAAAACTGTAAACATATCCAAATTACTCAAGCCAAACCAAGCTTCTTCCCTGACATTCCTACATACATCATGCCTTTCCTTTTCACAATATACTGATTCCAACAAAACCATCATTTATTGACTTTTTCTCAATTTCATGCTTTTCCCCACTTTTCGGACATGCATACGATGATCGAATCAACCCCTCTTTCATACACCATTCTAACACAACTTTCTCTCCTAATGCAGGCAACATTGTAAAAAATATTTCAGAATATTCACCATACTTCAACATGCATTCATTCACATTTTCAACAATACTAAGATCGCTGGAAACCATTGTGAGTATCTGTAAAAATTTATGTAAAGAAAAATTAATTTCCCTGAAAAGCGGTAATCCACTCCACTAGGCTTAGTCGATGAATGAAAAGTAACAAATTCTTGAAAGATTATTTGAAGTAACTGCACCTCTACCATCTACACCAATCAGAAATTCTCAATTTAAAATACGCACTGAGCACATGTGAAAATGTGCAGAAATTTGCTCTAAAAAATAAGAATTCAATTTAAATTGCATAATTGAGCATGTGTGAAAGTGCTCTGCAATTCACACTCCTCCAGAATGGCAAAGTCGTCTTAGATATGACAATTGATGCGCTTATTAAGCTCGTAAAAAGTTTCAAATAATAAATAGTAGATTCTGCATCTGACTGAATACAACTAGCAAACTGAGTAATTATCGTCATCAACCAGAAATTGGTTGACTTTTCAAAAGCAACAAACTAACTTCCAATCAATGAACAATAATAAATAAAAGCAATCTGTTTCATCTTTTTCTCAAGTAAGAGAATTCTATTGAATTAAATTTGCTGATTAGCATATTTAAAAGAAATTATTAAAGTGGAATAGTTAAACTCGAAAATGCAACTAACAAATTAAGTAATTATCATTTTCGAGGGGAACAAACTAATTTCTGAACAATTGACAATAAGATGCAAAGGTGTTTCAAATTGCTACTTAAAAATCAATAAGAAATTGCTGGTTCTGTCAAACTTGAAACGCAATCTTCAAATCCGAATATATATAAATCTTTAAAACAGCGAGTTTTATTTTCTTGAGAGAATTGCTCCCCTACACTTCTGCCCTTGATCACATTAGAAAAATGCAAACTTTGTTAAAACATTTAAACAAGAACAAGTGTAGAAAAATATTCTCATAAAATTAGAATAAAACATTAAGAATGTATGAAAAAAGAAAATTTACATAATGTACTACATTAAAGGCCAGGAAATGGATTTAATTAACTTTCATGTTAGCCAGCTGTGAAACATATTCAATGTCCATTGCTGTCTTGTTACTCAGAATGGAATTTGGAATTCGAACTGCGATGGAGAACGGAGAGTATAAGCGGGAATGCTATTTATAGAATGTGGGGAAAAGAAGTACCATGTGTTACATCTGAAAGCTGGTTAGTGGAAGACTTTAAATTTGCTTTAAAATTAACCAAACAAAAGAAATTAAGTTCTGGCTAATTGTCTTTTTTGAAAAGGATTTAAAGCTAAAAGAAACCTTTACTACTCAAGAGCTACTCAGCAAACTTAGAAGTTTGAAATATACCCATATTGTTAGTAACACTAAGAAAGAAATGCCAGAAAATTTTTATGTACAATAACTACAGTAATACAATATTTAGAAATCCTTTAACTGTTAGTCATCAACATATTTCACCTTTTAAAGGTTTCGGACTAAATTGTCATATCCCTATCGCCCAAATGATTAGATTGAGTATTTAACACCTGCTATTCCTAAACCCTGAAAAGGCAGAATATGTTGGATAGGGTTAAAGAATTTGTAAATATTATAATTACTGTAGTTATTGTATATAATATAAAAATCGCTTTTTCTGCCAATTCTTTCTTGCAGTTAACAGTATGGGCCTGTTTCAAATTTCTAGGTCTGATTAGTAGTGAGCTCCTGAGTAGTGAAAATTTCTTTTCTTTTATTCTATTTCAAAAAAGACAATAAGCCACAAAAATTGTTTTTTTGGGGGGAGGTTAGTTTTAAAGCAAATTTTACCAGAAGACTTCTATTCACCAGCTTTCAAATACACACCACTCCTTTGTACCACATTTTATAAATAGAATCTGCCTATGCTCTCTCTTTTCCCTACAATTTCCATCGAGGTTTGAATTCCAAATCACATTTTGAGTAAGAAAACAGTAATGGACATTGAATCTGTTTCACTGCTAACAAACACGCAAGTTAATTAAATTCATTTTCTTTCCTTTAATGTATATTATGTAAATTTTCTTTTTTCATATATTCTTAATGTTTCATTTTAATCTTATGAGAATATTTTGTACACTTGTTCTTCCTTGTTTAATTTTTTTAACAAAGTTTGCATTCCTTTTATGTGACCAAAGGTGAAAGTGCAAGGGAGCAATTTTCTTAAGTAAGAAAATAAAACTCACTTTTATAATATCGAAATATATGACAGTTATATATATCGAATTGAAGATTGTGCCAATTTCTTACTGATTTTTAATTAGCTATTTGAATAACTTGGTCTCATTGCACAGCTTTTTTAGTCTTGATTCTTTCTTGAGAAAAATGCGAAACACTTTTGCATTTGTTAATTACTAGCAGCTTTGCTGCCAGCCTTTGTCTGGCTTTTAAATGTACTGGAAAAATAGCTGAACAGAACACCAAACGTTAAATTTCAAAACTGAGTAGAATTTTACTCTGCAAAACAACTTCATAAAAAAGTTATTCCGTATAGCAAAATTACAGTGAAATAAGCAATATCCCTTAATACAAATATTAATTATTCTAATAAATAAATTAACCAACTTCCCTTTGCAAAATCTTAAGAAAAATGGTATAAAGGAGGTTAAGAACTTTGTTTCCTAAAAAAAACACTCAGAACTTTTAAATATTTTAAAAACATTGAAATGAGCAATAAATAGCGTAAAAGAATACAAAAAAACAAACAATTATGAAAAGCAAAGTATAATTAGTGATATTTTATCTTATGTTTTCAATAGAAAAAAAGACAATGAAATAAGCTATATCCCTTAATACAGATATTAATTATCCTAATAAAAAAAAATTAACCAACTTTCCGCTGAAGGAAAAAAATCATGCAGAACTTTTCAATTTCGTACAAACAGTGAAATAAGCAAAAAGTAATATGAACGAAACTCAAAAAAACAAAAAATTCCGCGCAGAATTTTACTCTGTACAACAACTTTATAAAAAAAAATCAATAAAAATGTATTGTATATATAAAAAAATGACAATGAAATATGCCAATCTCTTAAAAACAGTGACATAAGAAATAAGATGAAAAATTGTTGCCAAACTAAAAGAATGAAACTATTCAAAATGATGCGATTTCATCAAAAATCTATCAACAACAATAAGAAAGGATAATTGTTGCCAAAATCACATTTTTAAATATGTGAAAAGTGTACTCGGAAGCTTCATTTAAAATTCTTTTTGTAAAAGCAGCCGCGAGGATGAAAGTTTAACGTGTCCAAAAATCAAAGAAAAATAAACTTTTTTAGAAAAAATCCCGTTGAAAAGGTGTTACGCTCACTTTGTTAAATAAATTCGTATTCAATCAATTTATTGAAACACAAAATTTAGTTTTAAGTTCGTAAAATAGCTGAGTGCCTACGTTTCATGACGATGTGAAAATGGAGTGTGTAGAGTAAAATCTTGCTTTCCTGTAGCCCATTATGTCTCAAAATGACGCGATTTTGTCACAAAACATAAAATTAAAAAAAATCGCTTTGAGGTGCACTGGCTCTATTCTAGATGCACCTACAGTGGATGGACAAAAATATGGAAACACCTTGTGAAATGCATGTTTGAAAAGAAAGATTAATTTTAATGAAATATGTAGGTGGCGCTGGCATTTTTGACTACTGACGCCACCTATACAACTTCGTAAATGTGCTCAACAGTTCAGTTGTTGTCGGAGTACTCTTATGTGACGTTGTCATTGCATTATGTCAGTTAACAGACTTCGAACGTGGGCAAATTGTTGGAGCACATATGGTAGTTGCTTCCGTAAGCTAGGTAGCCGAGGTGTTTAGTGTTTCAAGAGGTACTGTATCGAAGATTTATTCCGCATATTTGAAAAGCGGAAAAACATCTGCTAAATCACAGCGTGGACGAAAGTGTGTCCTGAGTGATCGTGACAGACGATCATTAAGGGCAATTGTGACGAAAAATAAGAAGACCAACAGCTGCAAAAGTTACTGCTGAAATGAATGTTGTGTTACCGAACCCTGTGAGTACCAAAACAATTAGAAGGGAGCTTCATAAACAGGGAATTGCTGGCCATGCTGCAATTGAGAAGCCACTCATCAGTGATGCTAATTCCCGTAACAGGAAAAGGTGGTGTTTAAGTCATAAAGCCTGGACTATAGAGCAGTGGAAGCGAGTAATATGGTCTGACGAGTCTTCTTTCACATTGTTTCCCACTTCTGGCCGAGTTTACGTCTGGAGAACGCCATCTCAAGTCTATAATACAGACTGCTTGTTGCCAAGAGTGAAACATGGCGGGGGTTCTATTATGGTTTGGGCAGCCATATCGTGGTTCTATACTAGCCCCATGATAACTGTGTCAGGGCACATGACTGCCAAGACTTATGTGAACATTTTGGCCGATCAAGTTCATCCCATGGTACAAACTTTGTTCCCCAATAGTGATGGTGTCTTCCAAGACGACAAAGCCCCTATTCACACAGCTCACATTGTCCAGGACTGGTTTTCTGAGCACGAGGATGAGTTGCCCCATCTCCCCTGGCCACCACAGTCACCAGACCTGAATATTTATCGAACCTTTGTGGTCTACATTGGAATGGAAAGTGCGTTCTCGTTATCCACCGCCAACATCGTTATCTGAACTTGCCACCGTTTTGCAGGAAGAATGGTATAATATTCCCTTGGCAAACATACAGGAACTGTATTTATCCATTCCGAGAAGACTGCAAGCTGTTTTGGATACCAACGGTTTCCTACACCATATTAAGCAAAGAAACATGTTTTTTTAAAGGTGTTTCCATATTTTTGACCAACCCCTGTATGTACCAAATTTCGTAGCCGTCAGTCTATTGGCTTACGAGCAGCGCTAGCGAAAGTGACACACAGACAGATTCTTTCTTTTATTATATGTAGAGATTGTTAATTGATCGGGAAAAGTTGACTTCCCTTGAAGAGTCAACTACATTCTTGTCAGTGACGACAATTGCTTAGTTTGTTAGTTGCATTTTCCATTTTTAACTATTCCTTTTAAATATGCTACTAAATAAATTCAATTCAATAGAATTCTAACTACTTTTTTCAAAACAGAGATATATTTGAATAATTTATATTAATATGTATATTGACAGGTATCATTAATAATTTTATTAACACATGCATATCAAATAAATGAAGAAAAGTTTTTTTTATTGATATTCATTGATGTAATGAGAAATTTATTTTGAAATACTGATAAGAATGATTTCTCTCATTACCAAATATTAGCTACAGCAGTATTGTTTTAATGCATATTTTTTTACAGAATACTATGTGGACGGCGTGTTCGAGTTGAACTATCAAGTGGCAAGTCAAGATCATCATATCGCCCACCTCCGCGCTATAATCCAGATGAACGCTGCTACGAGTGTGGTGAACGCGGTCATTATGCCCGAGATTGCAAAGGACAAAGACGTCGATCAAGGTGATTGATTACGTTTGCCAGTTTAATGGTTATGTATTTCTTGAATATATTTAGTTATAGTAATTTTGAAATTATTTTAATATCCATATGAAATTTAATATGAATTTATTAAAATTAGATTTCATCTAGAATGTTAAATATTTCATTTGAAGTCAGGAGACATTTTTGAGTGCTGTCACATTATTTTTAAAAAGGTTTTAAACATTAACACATAAATAAATATGGATTAACCTATTTATGTTTACAATAAGCTCCAAACAAATATGTTTGTTGGTATATGACATTAAAATTATTTAACTTTTATAGGCTAAAGCAGCCTCACATGTGTATAAATCAACTTTATCGCTCAAGCTGCATTGTTGTGATCAGCATTCAGCAATGAGTTACCAGCTCACCATTTACTACATCTCAGCATATAAAACATCTTAATGTTGCATCCTCAACTCGTCACTGCTCAGGACGGCAGCACACTGCTTCTTGTCTTTCATCTACAAATCGACTCTTAAAGCGTTCTGCATCTAACGCATTTCGGCCATCTCTGCACTACATCGTCAAAAAAATCAGCAATGTGCTTGCTACTTATTGTTATCAACTCTAAGTTGTACAATATAATGAGAAGAGGTTTGTCTTTTCCTTTCTTTATATGTGTTTTAAACGCTTCTGAGTGATTCAACTAAGAAAGGTTTCATGTTAGTGGGAAATTATCGTAAGGATTTTAAAGACAATTGTTATATAAATTAGAACTTCAAAGAATTGTTTCAGATTTCATACAAAATATGCTTTGTTAACTATCTTAAAGCATTCTGATATTATGCATTTATCAGTAACAAATAAACCTGCAGAATTTTTAAAGTATTTGACAGAATTTATCATTATTCTGAATTAAGTAAAAATAATTTATAAATTTTTTAAAAGATTTGCCTTTCTTAAGTATTTAAAGTTTTTTAAAGACATCTAAATCTTAACATGAAAATAATTCGATGAATTTTTACACTAGGATTACTGCTTTGAATTCTCGAGGAAACTGGGATAATTTGGGTAAATTCTGAAGTTGATATTATAATTAAATAATGTGCCAAGCATATTAAAATATAACTTATTAAAACTTAAGTTAAATACTCTGGAATAGAAAGTACTTAATTTAAATGTTCAGCACTTTTTATGTATTTATAAAACTGTTTTGGCCAATTAATGTTATCACTCTGAAGTCTCTGAGCTGGTTCATTTGGCAGTAACATACAATAATATATCTTGTATGTTAATTTCTTATGCAAACAGGAAAGATGTGGGATGCTTAAATATTTTATATACTTCTCTTGAAGCTGAGGTAAGTTTATGGATCATAGAAGTATTTTCAAAAAAGTCTCATTGCTTACATATTTTGTTTCAGATCCCGCTCACGTTCTCCACGACGCAGATCCAGAAGTCGTTCTCGTAGCCGATCAGCAAGCCGCAGCCCCGTGAGAGGTCATGCTGCTGCCTCAAGAAGTCGATCAGGTTCCAGAAGCCGGTGAGTAAGTATCTCTTACTATAAATTTGTGTGTGTTGTTTTCTTATCTCCAAGTTATATCGGAAATTCTAAAGATATGCTGTTTTTGAAATTTTTAGCACAAATGCGAAATGTGTGTGTGTTTAAATGGGAGGGAAAAGCCCCCTTTGGGCATAATATAAAATCTTAAAGTTTTCGGGTTTTTTTCCCTCTTGTTAAGTGATTTGGATATTCATTGAAAACATAGATAATCCAAAATTGTCTCTGACCACAAATAGATTTTTTAGACATTTTAACAGAAATAAGGCATACTGCTTTAAGCTGAGTTTGAGAAAATATAGATTTTTGTACAGATCTGATTCATAACATAAAGCATCTAGAAGACTAAAATGGTATCACAAATACAATCAACGGTGTGTCAAAAGAAACTTTTTTATTTTCGGAATATTTGGTTGACTTCTGTAAAAATCAGTTCTTTGGAGAAGTTATATGAGAGACAGCACTTCATATGAACCATTTTTATGTCAGCTTTCAAAAAGGCCCATTTAGCTAGGAGGATATAGCTTTCAATGAAACACATAACATTTTGTCTAGAAACTCTTCAGTGACAGGTGTTGACAAGCTTGTTTTCAGAAAAGTTTCTTCTAGCCTTGTGTTTAGATGGAACCCCATTATCAAATAAGCATCTCCTTACTTAAGACTATTAGTCTGTGGAATGAGGAGAGGTTGATGTTGTGTATGAGAGTTTATACATCTTACAAAAGGAACAAGTGGTATTTAGATAATGAGCCCATATTTGTTCCAGATATGAATTTTATGACATCTTGGTGTAAAATATTCATTCTCTGCTACATTTGTGTTACAGTATAAATTGAAATTAAGTATGTGAAATAAATGAAATATTCATAAATTGTTTTACTGTGAAGGTACAATAATTCTGTTTAAACTTAAATTCTTGCAAACATGATATAAATACAAGTTCTGTGTTTTATTTCTCTTCTTTGCAATGTATGAAGGAAATTTCCTTGATTTAAAGCTGCAAATCTTTTACATATCTAAAATGGATTTTTAGATAATTCTACTGAATATTTTTTTTTCTTTCAGAAATGGACGTGCATCATCTGGAGATTAATCAGAATTCCTTTCACCAATCATTCTTGTTCAGTCACAACAAATAAACAGTTTTGTTGCATACAATATTTGTGTAGTTGTATACTTTTTATCCGTAATAAACCATTTTCCATTTGAGCACTGTATTCAGCTTTTTCATTCAACTCCTTAGTCATTTCATTTGTAATTTCATTATACAAACTATCATGAAAAAGATGTAATTCATTTGGCATTGTGTTATAAAAAAATCTAAAGAATTGATTTATTCATTACCTCAAGTGATACAATTTGTTTATGTAAAGTTTTTAGTTCCTTGATAATAAAATATTCAGAAGGCTTTTGTGTTTTTTTAAGGGAAAGTCTTTAACCAAACATTCGTTATAGAGTTGTTCGGTTTTATTAATTTTTTATTGTTTCAAGAAGTTACAAGTAAAATATACAAAATTAGTATAAACGAATGGACACTTTTCAGCTATTCGATCCTGACGTCGGGCAAACAGATCGTCCCTTGTGCCCGTGCTGAACATCAATGTGCCTGAGCACATTTAAGCCTAACATGTGAAAGTAATTCCTATAAAATCAACATTTATCTAAATACTCAGGTTCTTGTATGTGTTATTTAAATACAATTTCTTATAATATCGACAGAAAATCAATATTTAAAATTAATAAGTTTCAGAGTCAGTTAAAGTGCAGTATTAGTAATAATGATTATGTTCCCAAGTTTAAATACTTTCAGTATTAGAAAATGAAGTAAACATAATGATTTTAATACAAGTGCTTTTGTTTCCACAGCATTTGAACATAATATATGCACATTTCAAAATTTGAAATACACTGTCCATTTCATTATATCAAGTATCATACACTGGGAATGAAGAGGTTAAAACAAAATTATTCATATAGTCAACTACTTTCAAAGTACTTGGTACTGTATAAGCCTGGTTATTTTTGCCATAATCAAAGAATTAGGAAAAGTAATAAGGCATGGAGAAAAATTGAGTCAAAAATGTGCAAGGCGGAAAGACAGCCCTTAAAGTTTCATCTGTGATTGCAATCCATAATTGCCAGCAGCACCTGAGATGCTATATTGAGTGGTTTGAAAATGTAAATTCTTTATATAAATACGTTAATGTTAGAAATATTTTTAAGTTGCCAGTCTTAATTTTGTTAAAAATCCATTTCATGGCATGGTAATAAAAAAATCGCAGGTAGTAATGATTAAATGGAAACTCCCATTGGACAATTTTTATTTTAAAACTAACCCCGCCTATTAAAGAAATCAGAAACATTTGAGAGTATCTTAGTATGAAGTTCTCAGTAAGAATACTTACTTTTAAGAACCTAACTATCAATTTTCAACATAATAATAAAGCTAGCTACAAAATGGACAATTATAAAAACTGGCAAGAATAAAATAACATCTTTACAAAGGCAGTTCCAAATTTACTATCTTAAAACAAATCTTATTCTGAAACAGTTGCAAACACTACCCCCAATAAAAATTATATTTTTTTGCACAATGAGGGAACATTAAATTATCCTAATTCATATTTCTTATTAGTAACAGCTTGCTGTAATTCTATCTGTCTTGGTTTGATCACATTCCTGACTACCTGCCAGCTGAGAAGTAAGAATCACCTCTTTCTCCATTCATCTAAAGCCAAGCAGTCAATATTTGGGAAGCACTGTGAAGGCCTACTAGGTGCTTTCACTTCTCGTTTCTCTCTACAGTGTATTTTATTTTTTAGCAGTGATAAATGCTATGAATTTATTTATGAAAATGTATTATGACAAACATTTAAAACTAAAGCATAATTTAACATTGAACATACTAATATAGTACTAACCACTTATATTTAAGTATGAAAATGATTCATTGTAAAATAAAAAAATTTTGTGTAAAACCAAACAAATATGCAAAGCACACTGCAGAATAAAAATTTCAAGTATAAATAACAGTAAAAACTACTCAAATAACAGATTTATCCTTTGTGCTTCAACGGCATTTCAAGTTGAATAAATTTCGCCAGCATCCTGTGCATTTGCTTCGCCACATAGTGGCTTCAATATGAAAGAAACCCGAGGTGAGCCACCCTGGTTTGTATTGTGTCTACAGAGCTTGCCTTCTCCCATTCATATTCTTTGCCATAATGGATAAGCATGATGTAACAGGAAGTTCATTTTGGTTTAATGTAAACTTATTCTTGATAAGCCAGTTTTTTTTTTTTTTTTTTTTGTGTGTGTGTGTGTGTGTTGTTTTGAAGAAAAGGATGCAGGCTTTCTTTTTGGCTGATCTTTAGATTATGGTAACTGGTAGTTTGGAGGCGATAAAGGTTACTACCTGGGACTTTGGTAATAATGTGAGCAGTACTCAGTTCCGATTACGCATTATTTTGTGTGAGGGAAATGAGAGATCATGTGATATTAATGGACGAATTATGCTTCTTTAATCGGGAAAAACTCTGGAAATTTTGTATTTGGCTTGGTTGTGTGAAACAGCGTTCGTTAATTTTTGGATCCCATGGCCTTAACTAAAGTGAATTCGTAATGGGTATTTAGTGGGATTGAAAGGGGTAGAAATAAGTGTTTCTTTAAGGTTGTGCGAGATAGAAGTAAAGATGTTTTATTAAGTTATTTATTTTACCTGGTACCTTGCTGTGAACTATAAGTATGATTTTAAAGATCCTTAAACAGAAATAAGAAAAGTTTATCGGACACGTAATCAAGATTCTGAAGAAGATTAGGTAAGTTAGTTAGAAATGTTCATATTTGGAAAAGGTATATACTTTTTCGTTATTAGGTAATTTCATATATGTTCTTTTTACCAGGTTTAAAGATTCAGAAAATTGTCATGTATTTTCGTGAAATTTTTCTAATTTATGAGAAAAAAGGAGTGTACATGGATATGGTGAAGAGTGTGCGCAATGCCATTTTTGTGCAATTCTGGGATTTTTTTTTTAAGTAAAAATAAGTCGACGTGTACATGGTTTAGTGATATTTTAATTAAATGATAGTTATTTTGTGAATTTTATGTTTGTAGGAATACACCCCTTCAACAATTTTTTTCTGAGCTGCAGAAATATTTCTTTTATTGTATACAGTTTCAACATTGGAAAAATAATTCCCTTTATCAGTTTTATCCAAGTAGTGAAAATAAAATGCAATAAGAGCATCCCACAGATCTTTGATTCTTTTTCTAAAACACATAAAATGTAAACCCACCTATGGTCTGGTCTCTTCAAGGGCTTAAGTTTTTTAATGGCAAGGGATTCACAGATTTTGAAAAAATTTTCTCTTTTACTGCAGCTTTTCATATCAAAATAGATGTCATCAAACAAATCTTCTAAGTATCTATCAAAACATGAAGCAAATTTTTTTGCACAGTTATTAGCTGTGTGACATGTGTCACCATCAATATCTAATAAGTGGGGTGCTTTGTTTAGTCTGGTTTCAACACCTTTTTTTTTTCCACGCACGGTGTTACATGAGTTCATTAATACACTAATTAAGTTTGCCCATGGAATATTATTATCTTCAATAGTATTAACAACTGCTTTAAAAACAGCTTCTGAATTGCAAGATTCCATCTTTAGAGATGCAAAATGATGAACTACAACTTCATTTTTATTGTTGTCATAAACTGCACCAATATTGCCAGTATACTTTCTTGAGCATTGCTAGTACTTTCATCCAAATTTAGAGAAAATTGAGTCTCCTTTAAAGTTTTAATGATATTTTCCTTAATAGTTTTTGCGAGCCCATATTTCATCTTATAACATGCAGTAGTCCTGGACCATTTCCAACGAGTTTAGTGCCGTCTGATCGCGGCTCAACTGTTTGCAGAGTTCAATTAAATTGGGAGCTACATTGAAAGAAAGAGAATTCTCGGTGATAAACGAAGTTATTAATACC